AATCAATCAATCATCCAATCCCAATTTTTCTTTTTCAAAGTAAATAGGGTTCTATTTTCTTCTTTTTTTTTTTAGACATTATGAAAAATAACTTGAACAATTTCTGAATTTTGAAAAGTAAATCATGTTCTCTGTATTAATCCTTGAAAGAAATTTTGTTATTGTAGATGTCACAAAAACGCAAACTACAATTTGTTATTATTACTCAAGGAGTTATACCACCAACAAATAATTTTGTATCAACTATATCTAGAAAAATATGTAAAAGCCTTTCATCAAACATTAAAGATCAATATGTTGCTTTTGAGCAATGATATGGGTCAGTTAATTCTTCAGCCTGATCAAGTAAAAAAAACAGATCCTTTCTTTAATAAAAGAAGGAATGATCCCAGATTAGGAAACCAATGAACACAACTATCAAACCAGGGTTAAGATTTACATCCAAGATGCTGCAGTTTTTGGAAGCAAAGAGACCATTAGGAACAAGAAGACAAGCAAGAGTATTTGTGTCATAAACTGTAAAGCCATGTCTAAGACGAGCAGCAGTAGCTCGATGAGGCACTGCTGGTCTGTGCTGGGTTTTGTTTGAAGATGTTCTTCTTCCCTCCAGATGAACCTTCCGCCAAAAGACTCGGTGTTTCCAAAATCTGCAGATAAAAGAAAGGTTCAGGACATGCTCAACCTCAGATCAAAAGCTTGAAGAAATATGCGGGATTAACTACCTTAAGAACAAGCTCTTCAAAGCATTGCTCAACATTGACCCGAGTCTTAGCACTACACTCGAGAAACAGACATCCGTACTCCCGAGCAAAATCAATGCCTTCTTTCTTAGAGACAGCCCTTTCACTCTCCTGGAGATGAGAGTTGGGTTAATATACTTGGAAACATTATAGACACTTGACATGGAGGATGAAAAGAGATCTTACCTTATCGACTTTATTCCCAACAAGCATCTTGATGCAATCCTGATTCGTCGAGTAGAGGTCGATTTCCTTCGCCCATATATCCGATAGATTCGTGAAAGTTTCTCGTCGTGTCACATCATATACTACAGATTGGAGAGTTCCATAAGTCAGTTCACACGGAAAGCCTTAACAAAGCGTAGTAGCCCATATATAAAAGATCAAACATAAGCTTCAACATACCCATTATTATACCCTGAGCTCCTCTGTAATACGAACTTGTTAGCGTCCTAAACCTCTCTTGCCCAGCTGAGTGATCAGAAACACCCTAAAACTGATCAGAGATAACAGAAAAAACTCGAAAACTGCAAGAGAATAATCTCTAAACTATTCTTCACCAGTCACACAGTGGCCACCAGAATGGCCATAAGAACTTAGGGATTGATTAAATGATTTCAAAAACTTTTACCCTAAACATTCTAAATTAAAACACAAGATGTACAGAAATTTCATAAGAGTGTTATACTAAACAGACACAACGAGATTTGAAATCTGACCTGTGTCCCAAATCGCAAGCTTGAGTTTCTTGTCGCCGATGGTAAGATACTTGACCTTAAAATCCACACCTAAAAGAAGAACAGATCCAACATAACCCGATCAAAACAAAAACGGAGAATCAACGAATCGGTCACAAAGCTTGAACAATTAAAACTCACCGATTGTAGGAGAAAGATCATCAAAAGTATTAGAAGTGAAACTCAACAATAGAGAGCTCTTGCCAACACCAGAATCTCCGATCAACAAAACTTTGAACAAGTAATCGAATTCGGGTTGCCCAGAGGAAGAACCCATCGAAATCGAAACCTTTTTCTCTTACCACAAATTTTCTGGGAAGACACAACAATTGGGAATTGTAGGAATCAAAAACAAAGTTTCGGAATAGAAATTGAGTAAAAAGGATCGTTAAAGTTCACCGTTAAGAAGAGCCCTCGAGATCTGCGAGAAGAATGACACGAAGACACAGAGAGAGCAGCGGAAAAAACGGAGAGGTCGCAAAAAGGCGAAGAAAACTCGAAGGCCTTCTTTTGTGTAACGTGT